GTTCTGAACGTAATCTATTATTGAAAAGAATATATAAAGAAGTGTTTCTTAATTAATTAGGTAAATTTTTTTTTTGAAACAAAACTTTCTTTTTTATTTTTAAATGTGAAAATTAATTTTGATATTATATGTTTAAGTATTATTTTACATTATTGAATTTATTACAAACGGAAATCTAATTTAAGGTGCCCATAAAGAATTAAATTAAAAAGTAATTAAATTTGTTAGGCTATTTTTTACTTTATTTTAATTTATTAAAAACTTTTTGGATAAAATAATAATTTAATGGGTTTTTATTACTGATTTTAAATTTATAAATCTTTAGTTGTTTTCATTTTTATAAATAAAATTATAACAAAACTTATTTTTCCTCTTTTGGATTTGGACATAAGTCAATCAACTTTGTTTATTCAAAAAAATTAGTAATGTTTGCGATTGCGACTTCTTTTTTTAAAATCATTTAGCACTTCGTTTTATTAAAGAGTATAATCGTGTTTTTTAATTTTCTTTCAATATTGTCAGTTGAATATATTATCGAATATCATAATTCTTTTGTTTTTATTTTTAAGAAATTAAACCTTACTTTGTTTTTTCGTTCAGAATTCGGTAATTATTCAATTTAACTTTATTATTTATGTGAAATAATAATGATAAAAAATAGTGTTGTTTTAAAAGTGTTTTTTTTTTTTTTATTTTATTTAGCACTTTGTTTTAAGCATACAAATAATTTTTAACGAACTTATTTTTTAAATTTTCTTTCTATATTGTTAGGTAAATATATTGATAAATTTCAATTTTATTTATTTTTTTATTATTTATTTTTAAACTAAGAAATCTTTCGTTATTTGCGCGATCATTTTTAGAAAATATAACATTAATATCTTTCTTAAGCAAAACATATACATCAAATTCATAAACTGATTTAAATCAATCTGAGTATGAAGTTTTGACAGAAATCCGACTTTCTGCGCCTTACAAGTAAATGAATTTCAAAAATACTATATCGCGATACATCGCCATATCGCGATGCAAAACTGACGATGCATCACGATATAAAATTTCTTATATCGCCCAGTCCTAGTTATGGCATGTTCGATATGCCTGCATTTATTGTCTATGATGTAGCGCAGACAAATAGCGAAATTCACCCGTTGTAGTTTCGGAGCATCGATGCTACCGATGACTACCTGAATGGCAGTTTTCAGCTCAGTAATGATTTTGGGGTTATTTCTATACGTTGTCTTTAATATAACCCCACAAAAATAAATCAAATGTGTTCAGATCCGGAGAATACGGTGGCCAAGCGAGCCCCATTCCAGTGGCCTCTGGGTACTCCCAGAGACAGAATGCGGTTCCCAAAGTGCTTCTCCCAGACATCAAACAATCTCTTTGTCCTATGATGTCGAGCTCCGTCTTGCATGAAATTACATTTTGTCGAAATCAAAGGCACTTCGGATAATGGGAATGATATCATTTTCAAGAACCTTCACAATCATTCAGTAGTCACCGTACCATCAACGAGTATCACACCAATTATTCCAACAACAACAAGCTGCGTGCCCATACTAATTCTCATCATGTCCCGTGGCCAACCACGAAGTTAGAACTTCATCACGCAAACCGTTCAGAAGTTATGTTGGTTTTATTTCTTATAGTTCAATAATTATCACTCTGTATTTTTGAATATAAATGATAATGTTACATTTTTAAACGTTACTGAAAATTGATTTAAAAAAAGTCGTATCTTTAAAATTCGATTTCTCAGGAACTATTTGACCGATATTGTTCGAATTTTGTGTTTTGCTATGTAAAATTACATTCTTTAAAATTATGTAAAAATGTTAAACTTTGCAATTCAAAATTATTTCGACTATTATGAAATAAAATAATAAAAAGTAATAAAGATTTACTAAATCCGTAAATCCATAATTCGCAAATATAACATCATCCGTAAAATCCGATTTATCGCAATATCCATTTTTACAGCAAAATATTATACCGCACTTTTTACAGTAATGTTTATTTTATTAGAGTGATTTGGCGATTTTATGGTAGTTATTACTATAAAAATTACAGCATATCAGATTTTTTGTTCCTTAACATGCTCCGGTAAAGATAGATTTTACTGTAGAAAATAACGGCAACCTGTGTGCTTGTACTTCTTACTGTAATTTTTCACTGGATTTTTTTGCAGTGTACAAAAGACATTTTGGTATGTTCTCGGTTCTGTCATATTTTAATCAATTTCTCATATATCTCCCAACGCGAGATTGTTTTGAAATTATTATTTTTAAATATGTTTAATTTTTCTGAAAATTCACTCATTTTTTAAAAAAATAAATTATTATTGTTCAAAAAGTACAGTGTCGAAATTAGATCTATATTTTGACACTGCGCTTTTAAGAGCTTTGTTATGAAGACTACCTGACAAAGGTTTGAAAAAGGCAAGTGGACGTGCCCATATGGCGATAATTATTTTCCTCTCTCCTTTCTTACATTAACCCATTCCCTGCTGATGTTGCGTTTGCACAGCACGTTAAAAAGCACTCTGTTGGAATTTTCATTCTAAAAAATTATAGTAAAAACACTGGTAGAAGTCTGTCCATTCGATTAACAGTAAAGTTTACGTTAAAAAAAAATTTACGATTTTCAAACCGTATACAACAAGCCTGGTTAACTATTTACAAATAGCATGGTTTCAAAAGCGTAAAAGAGGTATTTAACTGGTCATTGGAAATAGTTAAGAAACTTTATGGTGCTGCCATCTATTCGTGAATGAAAGTATCGTACTCTAATAGTCCATGGTCATAAATTGGGGAGGGCAGAACAAGCCTGGTTAACTATTTACAAAGTATGGTTTCAAAACCGTAAAAGAAGTATTTAACTGGTCATTGGAAATAGTTGAGAATCTTTATGATGCTGCCATCTATTCGTAAATGAAAGTATCGTATTCTAATAGTCCAGGGACGTAAATTGGGGAGTGCAGAACTCTGGAAACTCTTCATATGTTAAAGGGAATGAAGGAAATATTGTTGTGTCAACGCTGGAACTCGGTCATGAGATTGTCAGATTAGCCCACCCTCTCAGCTATAATGTGTGTTTATCTGCCAGGAATTAAATGGCTTCGTTAGGTGGGCCTAGTTGATGCGATAAAATTCAGACTGTTTAAACGTATTTGGTGAAAGCAGTTAATAAACGGTTTAATTATGGTTGTCAGTTTGAATATTATCTCTTTTATGGTAATTTGACTGTTTTGTTTGAATATGGTAAAATAACAATTAAATAAATTGTTTTTCTAACAATTTTTTCGAAAAATTTCTAGCAGGGCAATTTGAGTGATATAAATTGTAGTTTGCAGTGCTATAAAAATAAGCATGATTCCCTACTACACTTTTTTTAAGAAGCGATGATCGATCGCTTTCAGCACGGATGTAGGAGGAATGCCTCTTCCACATTACTTTCTTTTTCTTGTCTGTTTAGTTCACTGTTTTGACACCGAACAATCATTTCTAGAACCACTTGGCATGATAAGTTGGGCAGCTTTCGAATTTAATCGATTTTGCGGTGTTTTTACAGCTACCGTGGAACGATATGTTGCTGGACATTGTGAAGTTGTTGCTTGTGTACCTCAATCCCTGAACATATCGCAACCAGTATTTGAGCTGTGTAGCTGGCTGAAATTTCCATTACTTCAATAATATAACAGAAAACCCTACCTGTTTACTTGGATATCATTATTATCAGAAGAACTCAAGAACACAAAATCAGATGAAGCAGCACAGTGGAATTTATTAAGTTAGTCTTAAAATTCAGCACAATAGAATTTATTCAACAAATTTGTCTTAAAATTATTTGAAAGCACTAGGGATAGTTGGAAGGAGGAACACCACCAATGAAGCATTTTACACGTAAAACTTCACGAGAAAAGAAACCTCCATTCATTTGTAATTTTTCCTGCTATGAATGATAATTTTGCTTTGATCTTTTAATCACTCATTTTTATCAAATTTGTATTTACGTGTAAAAATTTCATTTTATTCTAACAATTCTTTCTATATACTCTAATTTTCATGGCAATGAGTATATTTCAACAGAAAGTTAAGTGATAGCTAAAATATTTTTTTTATTTTATAAATCGATAGATGCTGGTTTTAAAACCGAAAATCATCCGCAACATCCTTTTATTTTAAAATGGAATGTAAGGTCTGTGGCTTTCGAATAACAATAATAAATCCAAGTAAACCACCAACATTTTCATCAGCTTCCTTCGAAAGAAACTCTTTCAAAACATTTTAAGATAAACTTCATATAAAATGAACAAAATATTTGGTAAATTAGCCCTAGACTATATAAACTCGATTCTTAAAAGTTACTAGCAGTATTCCATTTATTACTATAATTTTTTGCAAACCCATATAAAAGTTGTTGTTTCTAAATATTTTTAAATTATTTTATTTCATACTCTTACGTCTTAGGTTTCATTAAGTTTTTGAAAAAAAAAATTATTCCACCTTATTGTTTCCCCAGAAACACGTTTTAAAAGCACAACCATAAGCAAGTGGTTTCGAATAACTCTAGAAATGCTAATTCGGTGACGTAGCACCGGTCAGCATGCCATTCACGCTAGTGACTGAATTTGTTAATAACAATTGAACGTTAAAGAACAAGCTATAAAATCTTAAACAAAATAGTTACCAGCTTTATTTATAACAATGATTAATGTTAAAAAAGCTAAAGCAAAAAATTCCTTTTCAAACATTTCTCTCGCAGGAATTAATTAAAATCTTTTAGACAGGCACCTAAAATTGCTCCGCGCTGTTGATGTCCAAATTTTATAACCCTAGTTTTAACAGTTCTGGAGTTATAAGAGGTTCAAAATATCGTTCCGGGACAAGGACAGACAAAATATTGAGTCAACACAAAAGAAAAGTTGCAAAGTGAGATAAGCAATAGCTTTGAAGAAAAACTGTCACAAAATGAATTCTTTTTTTTCGCAAAAATTCAAGAGGTTGACAACAATTTTATTTTCCTGCAAAATCAACGTCAGCAGTACAAATTTTTTGGATTTAAATTTCTCAGTGGAACGTCTTTTAGAGGCATGGGTACAGTGCAGTTGCCCATAAACCATAACGGTTTCTTTTTTTTCACCATCCATTCTAACCGGCAGTCACAGCGGAATTCGTTACCTATAAAGAATAAAAAACATTATACATTTTGCTTTCTTAAATTAATATATTAATATGTATAATCCCCCACCTTTTCAGACGGAAAAAAGTATTTGATTATAGTTAGATACTTGCAAGTGACGTCATCGCGGGTAAATCGCGTCATTTGTCAATAGCCAATCAAGTTCGACAAGCACACGTGACATCGCTTACAAGTATCCAATTGATTTTGATTTAAATCACATGGGTTGGCATAATGACTTCACTTCTGCTCGGAGCTGCTAGCACTCGATTTTCGTTATTATTTATCAAAAATTAAATTGGTTTGATGAGAGAGACTAAACTTAATTACCTTTTTTTAACCTACGTCAGCCTAAGTAAGAAAACCATCAGTCGATGATTTGTAGCCAAAAACATTTCAGAAACATGAAGTTACAGTAATTTTTAAAATCAATTTCAAAATACGATTATCGCTGAAAAGTGTAGAATGCTGCTCAAAGCGACGAATATAATGCCTAGGACCTGCTTTCTAAATTTTTTCCCTAACTTTGGTAGTTAGGGAAAAATAGAGTAATAATATAGTAAATGAGGTTCAGGAAAAAGGAAAAATATAGTCCTTTTACTACAAGAGGGATTTTTCGAATGATGTTTTAATCGCTTGTTTCTTTTTACTTACTTTTGCTCGTCTTGTTTTTATTGTTTTGTTATTATGCCGACTGATTTTTTTAAATTTTTTATAAAGCGGCTCTTGTCAAAGAAAACTGCTATTAATATTGCGCACGAAATCGAACGCAATTTAGATAATGATTTTTCTGATACAGAACAGGACTATAATTTCTTAAAATAATGTTGATGACATGGAACGTAATACTAACGGTTTACACTTGCCCAGTATGGTCTACACCAGGACTGTCCAACTGCAAAGGGCCCACGGGCCAGAATTCCGGTCACTGATCACCTGGCGGGCCGCAGTTTGAAAAAGTTGAACTATAACCTCTTATACAATAACACTTAATAATTGAATTATGAGTAATAAAACAATGGAACAGAAGGATTCTAAAACAATTTTCTTACATTTTAATGAGAAAACTGAGGCCGACCAGCCTTAATAAGAAGTTGGTGGACCGCCAGTTGGACAGCCCTGGTCTACACTGATGTTTTAATAATGAATAAGTGCCCCTTCCCGGTATATACTACACTGATGTTTTTAAGGTTAGTCACTGCTCGGTATACAATTGTCCATCATATCTTACGTTTATGTTTTCTTTTCTTTTTCTTAAGGTTGAGTCCACTGCCCGTTTTACAGATTTTGGCAACTATAGTTTCCCAGGTAGCAATTTTGAAATGTTCCATCATTAATTAAATTTTTAAATTCCTTTTCTAATGATTATTTGTTAATATTCACTATTTATTTACATTGAAAATCTTAAAAAAGTCAGTGGCAACTCTTCCTTCAAATAATGCAGAAGGGCAGAAATGATTACCTAAATGTCATTACATGATGATATACGAGTCGTAAACTTTACCTGGAAAATTCCCTATTTATACTACAGTACAAGAGTCGTTTAGTTAAAACCGAGGACATTACGAGTTGGAGACCGGCATCAACTTCAAGAAAAGTGTTGCACACATAGGCGTGTAAAATAAGATTTTGAAAATTACGATCGTCCCTTCCGACTTATACATTACAAATTTTATACCGAAATAAATTTTACAATTGTTTTGAATCAATATATTCACCTTTCTTTCATTGCATAGATCATTAATTGTAATTGTAATATTTAGTTATCGTTATTATTAAATATTTGAATTCTGGCCTGTTTTATCCATAATATGATCAATTGAATTAAAACTCCTTTTAGAAGGAAAGAATGTAGTGGGAGTTATTTTTTCCTGTAGCACAAACTCATGTATAAGATTTAACTGGCATTCTATGTAATTATACGCTTCTATGCTCACCATTAAAAGTCATGCACCAAATAGATGAATTATTTTATTTCTACCTTGAAGATAAATATAGATGAAAGAATAATTTCATCCCAATTGAATAGTTTAATTAAACCCTATACAAGTCTTACTTTGTACACAAATTGTGCAAGTAAACTGTATAATTTGTGTACAAATAATTCTATTTTTCTCACTCTTAAAAGTTAAAAGGAAATCGTGGATCATTCCGCTTTCCGAAAACGTGAAAAAATTTTAAGTGGTGATAGGAGTTTATAGCAAAAGTGATGCGCGTCGCGCTTTTTTTTTTAGGTATGACAAAAATCGATAGCGAAATTATCTTTTTAAGAAACCCACTTGAAAGACGCATTTCTTAAAAACTCTTCAATTTTATTATTTTCTTCATTTTATTTTGTGTATAAGTTTTGTTTATATCGAAACTTTGTCAAAATTTAGATTGAAGAGAAATTCTTTTTAGCTATAAAAGGACAATAACTTTTTCTAGCTGTGAGAAAGTGGTTTAAACTTTGCATTATCAACAAATAAAAACATTCAGTTGCAATTTGAGTGCTCTAGCTAATTGGTAAGCGATCGAAACTTAGATTGCAAGATTTTAATTCTACACAGGGAGAAAAAAATTCTGGTAAAATTATCATACTGTATGGTAATGACATTTGTGGTGAAGAACATCATATTTCTAATTAATAAAATTAAAATTTATGGTATTTAAACCATTCATTAACTAATTTTTCTGCTCATTATCTAATGGTTTACCAGAAATCCTAGTTTTCAAAATTATAGGTCCTATTAACACTTATATAGTAAAAAATTCAAAACTGAAAAGTAAACTTAAGCGAATAAGCAATTTTTGCGCCATGTTCTAAGGTATCGTGATAGAATTACAAATTTTTTTCACATTTACTAAATTTTTTCCCATATTATAAAACCATATTTTATTGTTAATTTTACCAAAATCAGTTCCGGAGCACTTAGGTAAAAATTGCCAAGCTTTTTAAGTATTCCCATGAAGTCGAAAACACGGTAAATTTTACCATATTCTGGTAGTTTTGGTTATACCTGTTCCTCAGTATACAAACCAGTAGACTGCAAAAGCAAGTTTTGTGTAAATGAAAAAAAAAATTCTAAGTTAGTTTACCTGACACATCGAAGGTTTGCAGATTTTCTAAAGGCCACAAATACGTGTCTTCATTCAAGGTGGTAAATTTATTATCTCTTAAGTACACTTCCTTCAAACTAGGCATGTTCTTGAACATGTCAACAGGCAAAACTTCTAGTAAATTCCGACTGAAAATAAAAAAGACGTTTCTGCTTAAAAATTGCATTTATGACGTATTTTTAGGTTTCTGTAGGAAAACGAATTCATAATAATGATATAATTAATCACAAGTAAATATGAAATAATGAAAACCAGCGTTAGAAATTACTGAGGATTCTCTAACTAAAATTCGATTTAACTCATATGAAAACTAGTATTCTACCTATTAAATACTATAGTTCATCCTCCATGTTTAATTAATCTATCCAATATAATAAAATTGTATTTCTTTTTGTTTACTCCTGCAAATACATTCGTTTTTATGGCTTATTTCGCATCGATAATGATTCGTCAAATATTGATATTTTGTTTAACTTAAATATCATTTTGTGGTCCCTGTTTAGATTCTGAGAGTTTCAAGTTATTCCCTTTAAATGGATTATGTCTTATAGCATCAAGATATCTCTTTCAGTTGGAATACGGCCTACTAAAACTTAAAAAAACTGAACTCAGCGGCGCGACAGCCTATATAGGGCCAAGGCCTACTGTGCCCTTCTCAGTTTTCTTGATCTTGAGCTCTGGGATGCCGGAGCAGATGTTTCGGTTAGGTGGTCAGCCAAACGCGGAACCTCCAGTGTTTAGTTCCCAAGCAAGCTTGGTACTCATTTATTGCCCCACTGAAGGAATAAAAGGCTGAGTCAACCTTGCCCAGCCAGAGGATCGAACCCAGAACCTGTGGCACGGGAGCGCGAAGCGCTACCACTCAGCCACCGGGCGCCGGAATATGGCCTACAGCTTCAAGTTATTCCTTTCATTTGGATTATCCTTTACAGCTTCAAGTTATTCCCTTCATTTGAATTCTGCCTTATAGCTTCAAGTTATTCTCTTTCAGTTGAAATATAAGCTTCAAGATATTCCCGTTAGAAAGCAATAGCGTCTTCATCAACCAATAAAGAAAAATTGTGAGCTGATGATTATTAGTGAAGTTAATATGGATTAAAACTTATGTCAAGTATGCCGGACATCAGGTCTGAGGATGTTTATGTTAATTCTAATCTGACAGATTTTGTTCAAACTAGCATTGTATAAATAAAAATGTTACGCTTGTACAATATAATGCGCAAATTATGTACCTTATTATTCAAGATTTTTGACCATTACGAGCAAAAATAACAACAGAATATGTGAATTTTTGTAAAATTAAACAAAAACTTATTTTATACTAATTACTGACCTTAAATCTATGTGATAAAGATCTTCAGCCAGGTCTGGAAACATTGTTCGTTCCATTTCTGTGATTTCATTGTGATCTAAGTTTATGTTGACCAGACTTTTCAACTCTCTGAATGCTTCAGGGTGGATGAAAGATATTTCTGCTTGACCGAGGCCGAAATGTCGTAGATTGGGCCATGAAGGCAGTTTCTGATCAAGAGAGTACATGGATATCATATAGATGTCAATTAGATGGAGTTTCCGATGGTTGCGCAACTGCGACCAATCCCACGTGGTAATGTAGTTTGCACCTGAAGCACGAATTTCTTCCAATGTGTCTTCTAGACCTTCGAAAGCCAAATCTGCGTCAGACAGTGCCATTAGTTGAGAATTTGCAAACCGAATCTAAAAAACGTTTGAAGATCTCAATGGATAAAAATGTTCAATGACATTTTAGAGAATTTGAGTAAATCACCCATAGAACAACAAACAGTTATTTAAAATTAAAAAGAAATTTTCCTCGATATAATTATAGCGTTAGCCCCTAAATGATTCATTATGTTTCGAAGGGCAATTCATTTAAAGGCATGTGATGTGCGAAGACGGGTGATGCACGGAAAGATACGCACTCATCAAGTTTCTTTTCTATATTTCAAATGTCCAATGTGTATACCCTTGGACACCTGATATACATGGTATATCAGTTTAGCACTCCGGAAGCGCAGGCAATTAAGATGTCGTTAACACCACTGGTTTGAGAGCTGGGGGTAGTGAGTTCGTTCCTAGTGGCTCACAAAACAAACGACTCGCATACGCAGTAAGATGTACGTTACATCAGTCGTAGCTGAAAGTCCTCTCGTTGATTGCGATGTTGAAGTTTGGAGATGGAGCAACCAGTTCAGGCAGAGCCGTGGTGGCTCAGGTGATAGAGCGTTCACCTTCCAATGAGGTGAACCTGGTTCGAATCCCAGCGATGAATGGTTGATACAAATTCCGCACCCAGATCACACTGACCACAGTACTGATGTAAAACATCCACAGTGGTAGACGCATCATGGGTTAGAGTTTCCTTGCCATCAAGCTAATCATGGAGGCTTTCGTGGTTTTCCACTCTATATAACGCAAAACCGGTTAGTTTAATCCAGGTGTGCGCACATTGGACTTTTGAAGTGTTGAACGGATGCGTGTATCTTTCTTTACATGTCATATACTTGTAAATAAATGGTCTTTTTTAAACTGAATGAATCTACGCTAACTCTGCATTGTTGATAATGCTCACAGAGCTTCATGTCAGTGTACTTCATTTTTCTTTAATTTTAAAGGATAAAATTAATCTATCGCAATGTCAGAATAAATACTGAAACTATGCGCAGAATAAATCGTTTTTCTTTCCTTTTTTATGGAACGCATGTTAACACTGGTTATTATTTTGGAACTGAAATTTAATATTTACACTCAAATTTGGTTATAAAATTGTAAATTAAAATTTAGAAAAAAAATAAATAAATCTGCAAAATCAATTTTCAAAAACTACTTATTTCATAAAAAAATTTTAACATGATTTTTTTTAACCTTATTATTTACGTTTTCAAATTTTGGATTAAAAAGAAATATAAACATTAAATTTCAATCGCCAAAAAAAAATTCTAAACTTCATAAACAAAAAGGTGTAGAGGTGTTTAGATCATGCAATTTCATGTGCTTATCCAGAAATTTTAAAAACCATCCATTACTTGGGTTGTAATTTCCAATAAATGAATGGAATTTTGTTATCTTAGCATAAATATTTAAGGAAATGTGGACATTTTTTTAAGAAGATAGTTTTTTTTTTTTACTATAACTTTAAAAATATTTAGCAAAAGTAAACAAAATTTCTGATTAATAACAAAATTATCATTTTAAAATTTGTCAAAAATCACGCAAGATAAGAGCATTTAAAGTAGTTCTTTTAAACTGCACATGCATGGAAAAAATTTTTAAAAAAAATATTTTCAAAAAATTTTATACTTTTGTGGTGCATTATATTTGGCAACTAATGAAAAAAGTCCAATTTTAGTACCTTGAAAATTTAAAAAGTTTCTAGCGATTTTCTAAGTAGTTTAAGGCGACTGCCTGGGTACGATGAATTTTTTTTTAAAAATTAATTTTTTTAAATAAACATATGTGTTATTGGTTCATGTGTGACATAAAATGATATAAACAAGAAGAAATATTTTTGAANTTCAAATTTAGTGGATAACAATTGTAAAAAATGAGTGAAAACAGTCCCACGGACAATGCGATGGATTTAAGGTTATGTGAAGGTACGTCTCTTGTGAATATCAATTGACTGTTAGGTTTTCTATTCTGAAATTACATTATGACGCATTCACATACAGTATTAATACAAATACATTTTCCAGGGCGAGACGATGAGGCAACCACCAAGCACTTCCACTGGTTCAAGAAGTTCACGGGGGGAAAATGCACAATATTACCGTGATTATAGAGCACGGAAGCGAGCGGAGCCGGAAAAAGTGTCGTTGAATAGAACTAGTGATCCCTCTACGACTGCTGATTCTTCTACAATTAACGTCACAGGTTGCGAAGTTTAACTTCTTCCACGCGGAGGGACTCCACGCACTTTTTTTTAGAGAAAGCTCTGATTGGTATGGGATTTTCTACTAATTTTATATTGTACGATGAAACAATTTTTTTAGAGAAGGCTTTGAATGGTAAGGGATTTTTCACTAATCTTATATTGCACTATAAAACATGATTTAATAAAAAGGACACTGTCATTGTGGGGAATCATTCCCCATAAAAGTATGCTTTCTTTCCTTGTATCATCACATATATCTACCAACGACAGTTACGAGGAATTATTTTCTATTAAATTTTGTCTTATGATACAAAATAAAATTTATGGAAAACCCCTTATCATCTAAAGTTTTATTTTAGAAATTATTAAAAAAAATTTGAAAACTGCTAGACACTTTTTAAATTTACAAAAAATCCTAATTGGAGTTTTTTTATAGTTGCCAAATATTATAGTTGCAAAATTATGATTTTTTTCCTACTTTTTCCTCGCATGCTTACTCTGAAAGAACTAATTTAAATACTCATATCACGCGCAATTTATATATTAATAGTTAATTATTATGTTAATTGAAATATTAAAAATGTTTTCAAATCTAAAAATAATTATTTTGTAATTAATTAAAAGCTGCTCGAAAATTTTGTTTCATTTTAATGAAAATCTTTAAATTTACACCAAACAAAACATAAAATAAAAATATTAGTTTTTATAAAAATGTCCATGTCTCCAAAAATATTTAAGTTAATTTGCAATGGTACCAATAATGGTACCAATAGTACAATAATGGATATAAATTGCAAGCTTTTTTATATATTTTTCTGGCATATTTTCTAAGTGTTAAAAAGTACTTGCTTTCGTTCATAATTCATTACCGGTCTCCCAAATCTCTGAAAGCTCTAAACTTTATTGGTAAGTATGAAAAATCACATGACCTAAACATCTTTGAATTTACAAATGATCCTTTAAGTATTTCTTCAGAAATTTTAAAAAATAAAAAAAAACTATTAAAAACTCTAATTGTCTCTTCCATTATTGTTGCAGGGTAGTGGTGGATAATGATTGTTTAAATTATTTCTCGAAAGCTTGAATATTTAAGCTAAGCTTGAAGCTGCAAAGATTACTGTTTAAAAATCAGCAGCTGTTTTTCAGAAAGATAGAGGAAATCAACGAAAAACATATTCTCATACTTGCGCATAAAATATAAAGTAGACCGTGGATGAAATAATACTTTCGGTTAAATTACACAATCTCAGATAGTAATACCACCACAAAATATGCCATTAAACTACTGTAATGCCAAGAAAAAACGAAACATCTTTATTATTAAAAAATTTCTGTTTTTTATCATCATAAAGCGGTATGATTTTTTATGGTAAAATTCTTACCTTTGCATAGTTTGTGTCAATGAAAAGTTTACTTGGAATGTACATCAGGGTGGAATCAATGATTCCCAATGAGAACATGTCTAAAGAATCCGTTGCTTTGATTGGTGCAATTAATTCCTGGGCATTCATAACATTACTGCACAGCATCATTGGACCATTGCCCAAGTTCTTGCAAATGCATTGGGGAGCTATGGATTCTTCTGTCGGGCAGCCTATGTCTCTATGTCCCAATGAGACATTCCACAAAATGGACAAGATTATCCACAGAATTGAATAAAGCATTCTTCAAATATTTAATTTCTGAAAATCAATAAAATAGATACACTATGCAATAGTATATTGTATAACTTTATTTTCAAAAAATAAGCAGAGTTAGTTTTTTGAGAAATAGTAATATTTAGTGATCATGATTTATTGTCTTAGTATTTAATGATTTTTTTCCCTAAAAAATGCTTAATTGATACCGCAAGACTAATAGCTGAAAAGTAATAAGTACGTTATTGGTATTTTTTTCAGCGAGACTATTGAATAAATCGAAGTTCTACAATGGCTTATAATAGAATTAATAAATTGTTTAAAAAACGCATTTTAAAGTAATGCAAAACAAAACAGAGGAAGTTCATTTATTCCTCTTTGAATCTTTTTTTGTACGGTTTTGAAAAAAAATTTAAAACCTGAAAAACCTTCAATTTTTAAGTTAGGAAATAAAACAAAACTTACGTTGTTTATGTATATGCTACAGAGCTACGTAGACATACATTAGTCGTATACATTATACATTAGTCATACAATAGACATACAATAGCTTTTTTAAAAAATTCTATATATTTTCTTAACGAATGTAGTTTTAAATATGAGTTCAAATTGGAAGTCACGAACTGAAATTTTCCTCTAGTTATGAGTTCAGCCGACATTTACAAGTTGAAGCTCAGATTAAAAATAAAAAAAAGAAACATTTGAAATCTTCTGAGTTCACGCTGGGGAGTGCGAGAGAAAGTACAAAAATTAAAAAATTTTAAACAAAAAACTAAAAGTTTCAGCATGCAAATCTTAAAGTTTATCATTTTAAAGTATTAAGACACCTTTTAAGTTGAATAAAAAAAAATTTAAACTCTTTGAGTTGCCACACTCCTTAACTCATAATATTAGATTTACAATTCTCAGCATTAGAAAAACAGAATTTCGTAGCAAGGTAATATTATAGTTTACACTCAGGGTTTACCCTTATTTTCATTTCTATAACTTGCTCTTATATGTAATATTGATTTATTTACATTTGGTAGTAGTCAAAATGATATGAAATTAAATTTGTAAACCCAAGAATTCAAAATATTCATTACCACTTTAAATACAAAAATTAAATACTATGGACAATCTGTAGTTGTTGACAACTATGAATTTCGTATAAATCAATTGCCCATATACAAGTCACACAAAATTTTAAAATTATATAATATACAAATCACATTTAATTTTAAAATCATAAGATGCATAAATGCTTGTATATAATAATTTAAATATTACGAAACTAACTAAGAAAATTTCGAAAAGAAATTCCTGTTTGAAAACGTTAAAACGTGATTCGTAAAGGCTTTAAATCTCAATTCCGAATCTCAAATTATGTGAAAATCCAAGAATTAAAGAATTTAAATTGTATTTAAATATTTTTATTAACAAATAACAAATTGAACTTGATATTTTTTTATTGATATTTAAAAAAATTACTTTTGTATCATACCTATAAATAGAAATAATTATTAGATTATTGGTCTAAAAAACTGGCAATAAAGTTTTTATAAAGAGTATTTGAAAGCTCATAACTTTATCATTTTCCAGGATTAATTTTTGCAGAATGTTGTCAAAATCTATAGATAATCAACGTACCTGTTGATATTTAAAAATCATACGCTTAAAAATAATTTCGGTCACATACGACAAAATAATTTCGATTCATCAAAATAATATCATATTCATAATGCCAACAAAATAATTTCTATGTATCAAAATAATTTCCTACGATTCATTATGCCCACAAAATAGATTCTATGCATCAAAATAATTTATCATTCATTATGTTCATAAAGTAACACCTTGCGATATCAGTTTGAGTACATTTTAAAAACACTTGCTTAAAAAGGACTTCGGTCACATTCGACGACCATTTATTAAAATAATATCAAATTCGCGATGTCGCCAAAATCATTTCTACGCATCAAAATAATTTTCTAGGATTTATTATGTCCGCAAAATAATATATTGCTATATAATTTTTAGAACCATTCCTAAAAAGGGACGCAAAACATTGAAAGAAATGTAAATAACTTACTTTTAATATATCTCTGTTGTAACTGTTTCTAAGTTTAAGTAAAAGTAAATTTTTGACGTTTGTCTCGCAATCTTTTATCTAACATATGTTTAATCTCACGATTATTTTAATTTCCCATTATTTTTTAAGTGATCTTATTTTCTGATTGCGAAACAGCATTTAAAGGAAAATAGCATTTAAAGTTTATTTTGTCAATTTCTATTTCGTCAACTTTAAGATGGCACATGAATTTCTGATATTAAAATATTCATCACATTAAACTACTTTTTAAAGTGTACAATATGGAAGAAATACTTTTTACCGAATATTTTTACGAAAATTACTTAAAATAATAAGCGGAACATCTAAATAATTTTTGATTTAGTAATCGGATTTGGCCTGCTAACATATAATCTTCATGATTCGAAGAGTAAATTTTAATTCTTCAAATTAATTAGTGAAAACGATAATTTTAGTTTAAAGCTTATTTTTAATATTGATTTAAAAGTTACGGATATATAAATAGCAATTTACTGAATTTATATGTGATATAATTGAAATTTTAGTTAGTTTAGTATATTAACTAAGTAAACAGGTATAAAATGTTGCAAGTTTATAATTTGTCATGCTTTTATTTTATGATGAACATCTTATTTTTTTAAAAATTAATATTTTTTGTGTTCCTAAAAAATTGTCTGTCGTTTTTGTTGAAAAGATCAAAAATTATTTTTCTATCAAAACTTATTTAGAAAAAGCCTATTACTGGAATTGTGTATTCAGATTTGTGTGACAAGCGAATATTGCAACAAGTTTAAGCAATTAAATTTAATTTCTTTCGAACTTTTTTATTTGGTGAAATTTCTTTTGACTTAATGAAATTTGCTTGTGAGTAGCAACAGTTTTAAATCTATTTGATAGTGAGCAAAAATAAATAAATAAAGTTTTTCGAATTCTGTCATGAAATTTTGTTGCTTTTCAACCTTTCTAAAAATAATAATGGAAAAAGGATTCTAATGTTTAAAAAAAAATCGGTAGGAAAAGAGGTAAAAATTTAACTGGAAACATAACTGATAAAAAGGAAGTGACCTACATATGGAGATGGTTATTGATAAAGAAACTATTTTTGCTTTGTTTTGTTTCTGAAACACTTTATCTAAAGTGAGATCGTTATAAAAATGCATTCACTAACTAAATAACTGAAATATTAGTTTGGTGGAAATATACTTTTTTTAATTCACTAAAATTTTTTATGAAAAACCAAATTTTAAGACAATTTTAATAATTTTCAATTTGAATAAATTCAAGTCCAATTTAAACAGTAACTTTCTGATCTACAGCTTCAATTAGCTCTAATCATATTTTCGTGATAACTTTTTCTGCAGTTTGAATGAACTCAAATTATATTTCTGTCGTAAATTTTTAGTCTAGCTATTAAATGAGTTAAAATCATAATTCCGGATCAATTTCTTAATCTACAGCTAGAATAAGCTCAAATCATATTTCAATAGAAACTATCTGCAACTTAAGAAAGCTCAAATCGAATTTCAATAATTAAATTAGTTCAAATTTTATTTCCGTCCTTAAATTTTAGTCTAGTTAGTCTAGTTTAGTCACAGTTCAAGATCAATTTCTTAATCTGCAGCTTGAATAAGCTCGAATCATATTTCAATATAATGTTTTAATCTACAACTTGAATAAGCTCCTGTCATATTACCGTGATAACTTTTTCTGCAGTTTAAATAAGCTCAAATTTTATTTCTGTCCTAAGCTTTTAGTCTAGTTTTTAAATGAGTTCAAATCATATTTCAACAGAAATTTTTTTATCTACAACTTAAGCAAGCTCAATTCGAATTGTAATAAAAACGTTTTAATCTACAACTTTAATTAGATCTAATCATATTTCTGTGATAACTTTTCTACAAATTGAATAAGCTCAAATTATGTTTCGGTCGTAAATTTTTAGTCTAGTTATTAAATGAGTTCAAATCACAGTTCAAGATCAATTTCTTAATCTACAGCTTGAATAAGTGAAAATCATATTTCAATAAAAAAATTTACCTACAACTTAAGCAAGCTCAAATCAAATTTTTCAATAGTATCGTCTTAATCGAATCAGTATAATAACTTGAATAAGCTAATATATTATAATTAAACTTTTCTTAGCCTTCAGCTTGAATAAGTTCAAAGCATACTGAACTTACACTTATTTCGAAAATTTTCTCTTGAGTAAATTATGTAAAACTTCAGAGAAATATTTTTTTTTCACCTTTATATAAAATTATTCTTATTTATAAACTTTTCTTTTTCATTTTTACTATTATTGTCTGTACTAATTACTATTGTACTAATTACTATTACTATTACTGTCTCATTTAAATCTGGCAAAACTTAACACTAACCTTAAAATGTATACTTAATGCTAGTTATTTTCGTATGACTGTAAATTATGTGTCAGATTATTTTTGACTGAAAGATCGGTGAAACGATCAGAAAATAAATCTAAATTTTTTATATCATTTTTATCTTATCGTGGGAAAAGTTTCGTAATTTTCTGTTGTTAAACTGGCAAACATACATATAATTTAAATTTATCAGT